CATTTCGGTGATTTTCCATTATTCATCAACTTCTCTCCGGTGTCTGAAGACAACCATTTTAAAAAGGGGGGTCTCAACGAAAACAGCGCGTTTTAAAATGACCTTCAGTGCTCGGGAGATGGAAATAAATCACCACCTGGGATGGAGTCTCTGCACAAGCAGAGCCCTCCTAAGGATTGTTCCAAATCTCTGCTGCTGATTCTTACATTTCTCTGGGCTTGAACGCATCCTTTTCACCCTACCTGTTAGTAAAACCATATATGAGGGGATTTGATGCTTCCCTGTGACATGATGTTAACAGAATCTGTGGTTGTTTTTTTTTCCTTCTCATCTTTCCCTCCCAGCAGCCATCTCACATATTCCCTCTGCAGACTACTCACCCATGCAGTGCTCCTGTCCCAAATACATCACAGTGTGTTTACTAAAAGCCGTGTTATTTAAAGTCTGAATGGCTGCTGGAGTCTCTCCGTTTGAATGGATAGCACTTTTTATTCCCTGCAGAATAAACACGGGCCCAGGCAATGCTCCCAGTTTGATTTGTAGAAATTAAATAGAGGCGGCACACTTTCACCTCGCATTTGTAAATCCTGCCTCGAAATGATGCGTAAATATTTGAATTAATGGCACTTTTTATTATTTATCTAAATCACACGGATGAAACATTTGGAACCGTTCATCCCTTTTGATGTCTCATTTGAAAAACAAACACTTGTGTGAATTTGAATGTGAAAAACAGATAAAAAAGGATTATTATACTTTAATGAGCTGTTGAAACTGGTTGATGAAAGATAAAATTGATGGAAAGAAACGCCTGTCAACCCTCGCCAAACATGTCAAAGTTGTCTCATGCTATTTGTTAGTGCTTAGTGTGTCTGATGGGGATYGGTTTCCGCTACTACCAAACTAAATATGTGCTTGAATTCTCTAAAGGTGACAGCGTTAGAGTCATTTTTGTGTTTGCTGAGATTCATTATCTGTAGCGGCCATGAATCAGATTGACTCCAAAGGTTAATTCATACAACTAATGATTGTGTTCAAAGAGTTTCCTCACAATCTGTCAAGTGATTTATGAAATATTTTGCTTACAAACAAATACGTGAACACACACAGAAAGGTAGTTAAACATTCATCTGCTTTTCATCACAGTGCAGTAATAAGTAATCCTARTCATATTCAAGAAGATTCAGAGTGTACCAAAACAAACTATGAATCAAGAACAAAAATGCACAACAACAATAAAAAATAAATTAATGGAAGTGATATTTTTGAACACACTAAAAGGAATTGGCTTCAGGAAAAGTGATTCATAAACCTAAACCAGTGTCATATCTGAGAAGAAYGAAATTTAACAAACTAAAGTCATGGTTCTCAAACTGTGCTATGGGACTCAAAACCCTATAGTGGAAATTTTGGTATTTACTGTTTATAAATAACTATTTATACAAGATAAATGTTAAAACCTTTAAGCTGAATGTGATGGAAAGATAAAAAGTAGAAACAGTAAAAAATATCAGTGGTTTTAACAAAAAAAAAATTAATAATTCTTGACTCCAAATGGAAAATAATGTAAATAAAAGTGCAATGAAGAACTTTTGATACCCCCTTTGGAAACAGATGACTCTTTATGCAGCTCCAGTAAACTCTTTGTTGCACTGGATCCCAAAGTAAGGTCAGGATCCCATTGTGGGTCATGAAACACCAAGTGTGGGGTCTTCATGTCAATAACCTTAAAAAAGTTATTAACATTTAACCTTAACTTCTAGAAAGAAATAAAACAAAAGCAGTTGTCAAACTGATATAAAAATAATGTAATGTTTGATAAGGATCTTTATTTATTTATTTATTTATTTATTTATTTATTTATTTATTTATTGTACACTTTACCCAGAAATAGTTGATTTGATTTGATTTATTTATTTAACAGGAAAAGATTACTAAAAATCAAGCCTGACTCAGCATAGTTGCTGTTTTACAGCAGGTTCCTGTTCTGCAGCACATAAAACAYTCTTACTGCATCACAATCACATCATTATACACCATACACACGAAGACAAACAAGCATACCAAATTTCAAAAAGGCAGCATTTGCAAAATTAGTTAGGATCATGAGCTTTTGGGACTTTTATTTTGTGAGTCAAAAGATTAAAAGTTGGAACCGTCTCAAACATCAAATGCACAGAACCATTTTTAAATGGCATTCTTTAGTTGGGGATTGGCCATTTTGCTTTTTTATGTTAGAATTGAATGGAAGCTTGTACAACAGTTTATTATTTTCTGCTGTAATAGGTGCTTGGAGAGTTTATTAACTTTTTAAAGGTTGAGAACCACTGGACTAAACAGAACCAGTCAAAGACTTTCAAAAACTGATTTAACTTGATAGATAGGCAGCAATTTCTGCTGGGAAAGCAGGTGATTCTGAACCTTTTGCTTGGTACAAAACCAAAGAAGCATAAAGACAAACAACAAACTCCAAGTGATTGATGAAGTTTGTCAGGTAAAACATACTTCACAAGTTGATTTTTCTCAATGCATCTGTTGAAAGCAGGTCTCATGATGACAGTCTTTTTCTGTATCATAATGATTCTGCTTTAATGCAAAGTGAATTTGTATCTGATCAGTGATGGGGGCGGTAAATGCTGTGCATCWCTTCTTGAAGGTACTTCCTAGCTCAGAGGTTTTTCTGAATAAGATATCTTCATCGCAGCATAAGGAGAAGTCAAAATAAATGTGAAATAATGTGCCTTTGTTATTCAACATTGTTAGTGTTGCAGCAAATGTGGCTAAAAGCTTTCCTGATAGAAGTTTATCTGTTCAGTTTTGGATTAGGCCTATGTGACTTTAACAGGCCTAATTCATCCTCTTTAGTAAGTTAATTGGTCGAGACACTTTATGTTTTTTATTTTCTTTCTGTCATCATCCAGTCCCTACAATCAAATGTTCATGTATACAGTAGCCTTATATATTATTTTAAATACTGTAATTCAAGCAGCTTATCTAAAAAAGTCTAAGGTCTAACATTCCTTAAAGGCACAGTGTGTAGGATTTTGTCAATTCTTTTAGCCAAAATTGAGATAATCACTAATGACAATAAAAACATGTCTAATCATTGCAGACAAAGACCTTGTTTTATTATTTTTATCTTATAAAAAGCTGTTTATATCTCCATGGTCGCAGGTCCCCACTACAGGCAGCCGCCATCTTGCACCGCCATCTTGTCTAC